GAACCGAAAGAGACTTTCTCAAGGTTGTGGACCTACTGCCTATTGCTTTAGCCATCTTTGTTCTGCCGGTCATGGGAGACTCCCTTAATGTAGAAGAGACCGGCTGGCTTGTAGCATGGCAAAAGCCCCAAATGCCCCTTCCAGGGCTACACAGGGGACAAATCCAGAGCTGAGCCAGGCCAGGGAGGCAGTCCTAGAGAATCGGGCAGCAATAGATTACTTGCTGTTGCAGCATAACCAGGGTTGTAAGGACTTTAAAGGAATGTGCTGGGTTTTTTTGTGTTTTTTTTTAAGTGTGCTGTGTTAGGCTGGCAGCAGCTTCATACATTTGCACACTCATCTCTCTCTCTCTCTCTCTCTCTCTCTCTCTCTCTCTCTCTTTAAATATATTTTATTGATATTTTACAGAGAGAAGGAAGGGAGAGAGATAGAGAGCTAGAAACGTCGATGAGAGAGAAACATCGACCAGCTGCCTCTTGCACACCCCCTACCGGGGATGTGCCCGCAACCAATGTACATGCCCTTGACCGGAATCAAACCTGGGACCTTTCAGTCCTCAGACTGACGCTCTACCACTGAGCCAAACTGGTTTCGGCAGGAATGTGCTGTTTCAATCTTTCTGACAATTCTCAATTGAGAGAATATATATCTATGATCCTACATTTGGTGTATTCCATCCCTGGAAACTGCTTTCAAGGCAGAAGCAGATGTGGTCCAGCAGGATGAGACTTTTCATCTAAAACTAATCTCACCAATATGAGATTTTTAGAAATAGCAGTGGGGAAATGTTAGGGGCAAAAACAGAATATTGGGGACTTTGCTATTGATATGGAATTTTTGGACTGGAACCCGGATTTTTTTTCCGCCTGAGTCAAAGATTGAATCCACGAACATAAAGTGATATAGCAAAGGTGGAGATGTATTGAGGAATAAATACAGACTCCCACATGGGGAGTGAGAGAGTCCCACAGAATGGACTCGCAAGTAGGGAGAGGGAAAAGGGTCCCACTGAGTTCCTTTTCCCTGTGGCTTATAATGGCTGCAGGTCCTGGTGCCTTGATATCCCCCCTGATTGGTCACTAGTCCCTTAGACTGGTTACTATAGTAACTATAGTAACTAAAGGTCGAACATCACATGGGATTTGTAAGATTCTCCCTCCCCTCCACTCCCACCACTTCATTCTTGTTTTCCTAATTCTCTTTTTTCTTCTCCTTCCGAACGAAGGGCTTCCTTCTCTTTATTTTGTAAATACAGACTTTTTGCTGTTCCCAGCTTAATACTTCCTAAACTTGTCCTATTTTACCCCAAAATTCCTGTTTCACTATGGTTATGGGAAATAATAATCACGCTCAGTTAACCATGATTGCCTTGTGTTGGTTAAAGGAAGGACATTGTTTTTTTGTTTTGTTTTGTTTTTTACCTTTTTTTTTTGTTAAATTATTATCTGTGTACAAATACCATTGCACCCCCCCCCCCCATACATGCCCTCCCTCCTGAGAGTTTTGTGTCCATTGGTTGTATTTATATGCCCAAATCGAGTGAGAGAGAGTTAGGAAGGACGTTCTGACCTGGTGGGAGTTGTATGCCCCCAAGATTTGGGAGTCAACTTTGGAATCATTCTCATTCAAGAACTGCCTGTTATCATGGAAAGATTAATAACCCACTCCCCTAACATGGAGTCCCACCCAGCCTCCTACTTCCCCATGTAGTCTTTGTCCTACCCTATATCAGCAGCTGGCTTATGGGAGCGCTGCAGAGCAGATTTTTGTGAATGACCTGCTGCTTTCCCATACTGCCAACAGTATTGGAATAAATGTTCATATATGATTTTTTTAACGTTTAAATTAAAAAACTAAAAGTTTAATTTTGTTAGATGAGAGCATCATAGTGTGACCAAATGTATGAGTGTCCGAGTAGAGTATATGGGGCATTATCCAAGGTGTCCCTTGAGATAAGCTTAACCTTGCAGGTGTTTGAACATTAAGTAGTTGCTAGGGAAGAGACTACGTAAGCAGGATTGAGCGTAGGCATTATCATCTGACCTTATATTGATGTAGAGGCCAGTTGCATGAAGTTCATGCACAGGTGTGTGTGTGTGTGTGTGTGTGTGTGTGTGTGTGTGTGTGTGTGGTGTCCCTCAGCCCAGCCTACATCCTCTCCAATCTGGAACCCCTTGGGGGATGTCCAACTACCAGTTTAGGCCCGATAGAGACTGGACCTAAACTGGCAGTCAGATCCCTCTCACAACCTAGGACTCCTGGTTCATAACCACTTGCCTGCCTGCCAACCTGATTGATACCTAACTGCTCCCCTGCTTGCCCGTTCGCCCCCAACTACCCTCCCCTGCCAGCCTGATTGCCCCCAACTGCCCTCCCTTGCTGGCCTGATCTCGCCCCCAACTTCTTTTCCCTGCCAGCCATCTTGTGACAATGTGAGGACGGCCATCTTGTGTTGGTCATCTTGTGATAATGTCGTGCATGACACCAACTAGACTTTTAT